AAAAAAAAAAAAAAAAAAGCCATTTACCCATTAGTTAGCAAGTCCTTCCAGGATGGGAAGGGTGCCACTGAATCACCCCAAGATGCTCTCCTCAATCGAGGATGGCCCCAGCTCTGTCCTTTCCCGCCTAGAGGAAGCTGATCACCTCTGGGCTCCCGATGTCCCACTTCCTTGGTTCAGTTAATGTTTACCGAGGCCCAACTATACACCAGGCACAGGGCACAGAGCAGTCAACACAAGGACCCTAAGCCGGGAGACCGCACATCCCAGGAGGGGAGGCCCAAGTGCAACCAACTGTCTCTTAGGCCACCATTATTCCACTTAACTCGGCCTTCTGTAAGCCAAGGCGGCTGCACGTTATGCTGATGACGATGACGTGGTCCCAAGACAGCAGGCCTTTCTATTGCCAGCTTGAGGCAAACATGCGACTTTGGAGACCCGTGGGGAGGGGAGAACTGGGGGTAGGAGATCTCAGATTCTATGCCTCATGAGGCCTTTCTTATTATTTCCATGACATGCTGTTTCAGAGCTGCACGGTTCAGCTGTGCAGACATGACGGCAACACTGTTAAGCCTCTGCCTCCCCCTCTTGGTTGTGGAGTGACCGGCAGGGCGGGTGGGCACCGCCGGCTGGGTTCTGAGACCATATAGGGACCGGGGTGCAGGAGAAGCCTGTGAGGTAGGCGCCGGCAGGGCCTGGGCTCTCCCAGCTCCGGACACCAGCCTTCCTGAGCGCTGGGGAACCTCTGAACCCACAGCTTAACCTGGCTCTGAAGCCTCACGGGAAAGTTCCCTTTTCATACCATGGTCTAGGGCAGGCAGGAGCTGCTGCAGCTGACAGTCCTGACCAGAGCACTCACCTGGGATTTACGGGGAAACAGGCTGAGGTGGTCACGCAGCGAGGTCTGTAGAGCCAGCCAAGAACCTGCCACCACACCATAACACTGTGTCTATGCCTCCTGGTTCATCATCACCCTGCCCTGCCTCCTCCAGGAAGCCTTCTCAGATCCCATCGACATTGGGCCCTCCTCACCACGCTAACACAATACTGTGTCTACCGCACCTTACTCAGTACAACCCTGTTCCCCAGGAGTTGTTATCAATGACTATGTAGGTCACTGGCCAGCAGAGAGGGCGTGCCCCAGCCTACTGACTGGGGTGTTAACCTGTCCGTGCATACTCATCGCTGCCATCGCCCTCCCCTGCACTGGTCTAAGTTGAACCCTCCACGATGGAGGGGCCTGCCCCTGCCTCTTCTGCAGGGCTGGATACTCAGGATTCAAGACAACAGCAGTGAAGAGCCAAGTTCAGGCTCCAGTGCACTATCCTGACTCATCAAATGTTCTTGGGCAGCTCACGTCCCCTCTCTTAGCCTCAGTTTCCTTCTTTCTTCTCTTTTTGAGCTACAGGGACTCGGTGTGTTGCCCAGTCTGGAGTGCAGTGGCCATTCACAGGTGTGACTTGCCCAGTCTGGAGTGCAGGGGCCATTCACAGGCGTGATTGTAGCATCCTACAGTCTTGAGCTCCTGCCCTCAACATATACTTTCACCTCCAACTCCCAAGGACCTGGGACACAGGCCCACACCACCGTGCCCAGCTACCTCGGTTTCTTTAATCGAGAAATGGGACAGTAACTCCCAACTCCAGAATAACTTGGAAACCAAATGAGAACCCACACCGAGTTGTTTCACAAAGGTGTCTGTAACATGGGGGGTTCTGGCTACAATTTAAATTCCCCGAGCACCTGCTGTGTGCCAGGCACTCACCCTGATCACTGTGCCCCGCACGAAGCTGGCATGGTGAACTATTTCACACCCCGGCAGAGATACTTGGAGGTTATGTAACTGAGTAAGATTACACAGCGTGGAGCTGGAGCCGACCCAGGGTCAAACTACCTCCCGTGCTCCCCACACACCTGCCGACCTCCTGTCTCTGGGAACAAGGCCCCAAGGCGCCCACCGGGAGCAACCCTCTCAGGCTTCCTCTCCAACCCTCCAGCCCCACCTCGAGGGTGGGTGGGGCAAAATCTCGCCCGCAGCTCCCTGAGCCACAGTGGGCCTCGGCTTCCGGATCTCTCAAACGGAGGCCCCACCGCTGGCCCTCACAATCTGGCAGCC